CATGTAAGTGCCAAAAGTCAAAGATGAATTCCGTACTAGATTTGCATGCATTTCCTCTGTGTAAATTCACCTAGATTTCTTAAATGATGAAAGATTCAAAGCAAACAACCTTTGCAATGTGACAAATGAAATTTTATCACTGAATTTATTTGCCCAATGGGGGAAAGTGGGCAAAAGTATGCTGTCCAAATGCAGACTAAAACACATCTGTAATAAAGTGCTACAACTAAGTTGATCCCTGAGTTGAGCTGCTGCTATGAAAGAAACAAAATAGTTGCTAAGGAAAAAACCAACTGATTTTAAGGCTAATGCTATATTTCCTTTTATCCTTGGATTGTTGCGAAGGATTTTTTTCTACATGGCTAAATTATCTTTTCTTTTGAAATGGATACATTCACATTGTCTCACTACCACATCAGATTAGACAAAGCATGCCAAGCTCATGGGATCATGATGGAGCTTTTCAGAAGAAATTGTGTGCCATCAAAAGATGTTATGTAGGAAGACAATCCTCAGGTGTGCCCCACTTTTATTTTTTAGATATGATTAACACCATCCTATTGAAGAAACCATAATCTTGTACATAGCATGCAAATGATACCTTTACACTGTGGCTCAGGAAACCATGATCCATCAACACATTTTGTTTGCTGCAGATTGGAACCACAGCGGTAGGTTGCAAACTGGTTGGTCTTAAACAAATTTCCTGGTGAAAAGTCTGCAAGCTGTAGACGTGCACAATTTCCTGGATTAACTAACAATTCAAATATTGTTACATAAGTATTTATATAATAATCAATTATTCTTCTGTTTATTTATATAATCCATTCTCCTTCTTCTGCACTATCTGACTTCATATTCCAAGTACATCTATCAAAAATATATTGATCAATTTCTGGTTTATTCATCTGTTATCTACTCTGATTGACAGATTTTAGACATCTCTTTCTACTCTCCTATGTAGGATTTTAGATTTGATATGCTCCTCAAATTAAACTTCAGACAGAGAGTTGTCTTTAATGAGGTGGGCAGTATTCAGATTGGATTGATAAACAAACAAACAAACAAACAAACAAACCTGGATAATCTTATCTCTTTCTTTTCTGTTCCCACTCTGAATTTCAAGGCTGCCAGTTATACATCTCCCCTATTGTGAGGAACATAGAAATCCTAATCTATGGTAGACTGTCTTGAAAACCATTCAATAAAAAAATGAAAACTATAGGTTGACCCCTCTTCTCTGTGACAGCCCCTGAAATATTGGAATACTGCTATCATGTCACTCCTAGTTCTTTTCTTTTTTAGACTAGACATACTCAGTTCCTGCATCTGTTCATCATATGCTTTAGCCTCCAGCCCCAAATCGTCTTTGCTGCTCTTCTCTGAACCCTTTTAACATCTTTTTTTATCATGGTGACAAAAATGATGAAGTATTCCAAATGTGGTCTTACCAAAGCACTATAAAGCGGTACTAGTACTAGTAGTAGTAGTAATAAAGTTGGAAGGGACCTTGGAGGAAACCCTATACCATTTCAGACAAATGGCTGTCCAGTCTCTTCTTAAAAACTTCCAGTGTTGGAGCATTCACCGCTTCTGGAGGCAGGTTGTTCCACTGGTTAATTGTTCTGTCAGAAAGTTTCTCCTTAGTTCTAGGTTGCTTCTCTCCTTGATTAGTTTCCATCTGTTGCTTCTTGTCCTGCCTTCAGGCACTTTGGAGAATATCTTGACTCCCTCTTCTTTGTGGCAGCCCCTGAGATATTGGAACACTGCTAAAATGTCCCCCTTGTCCTTCTCTTCATTAAACTAGGCATATAACCGTTCCTTATATGTTTTAGCCTCCAGTCCTCTAATCACCTTTGTTGCTCTTCTCTGTACTCTTTCTAGAATCTCAACATCTTTTTTACATCATGGTGACCAAAACTGGATGCAGTATTCCAAGTGTGGCCTTACGAAGGCATTGTAAAGTGGTATTAATACTTCACGTGATCTTGATTCTATCCCTCTGTTAATGCAGCCTACCACTGTGTTGGCTTTTTTGGCAGCTGCAGCACACTGCTGGCTCATAACTAAGTGCTTGTCCACTAGGACTCCGAGATCTCTCTCACAGTTACTACTATTGAGCAAGGTACCACCTATACTATACATGTACATTTGATTTTTCTTGCCTAAATGTAGAACCTTACTTTTTTCACCATTGAATTTCATTTTGTTAGATAGCACCCAGTGTTCAAGTCTGTCCAGATCCTCCTGTATCTTAAGCCTATCTTCTGGAGTGTTGGCTATTCCTGCCAGCTTGGTGTCGTCTGTAAATTTGATCAGTTCCCCATCTATCCTCTCGTCCAAATTGTTGATGAAGATGTTGAAAAGCACTGGCCCTAGAACAGAGCCCTGGGGCACCCCACTACACACTTCCGTCCATGTAGATGCAGTTACATTGAGGACCACACGCTGAGTAAGGCTGGTCAGCCAGCTACAAATCTATCTGGTGGTGATGTTGTCTAACCCATATTTTTCTATCTTATCAAGTAGTAGGTTGTGATCTACTTTAACAAATGCCTTAATGAATCCAAGTAAATTATATACACTTCATGTAACCTTGATAATATTCTTATGTTGATATAGCCTAGGACTTCTTTGGCTTTTTCGGCAGCTGCAGCATACTGCTGTCTCATTTTTAATTGGTTGTCCACTGAGACTCCTTGATCCTTCTTAAAGTTACTGCTGTTGAGCCACATACCACCTGCTCTATACCTGTGCATTTGATTTTTCTTGTCTAAGAGTAAAACCTTACTTTTCGCACCATTGAATTTCATTTTGCAATTCATTTGCACTGAATTTGCATTTTATAATCTGCCAGTTCTTCATTACAATGATGATTAAGCCCTTGGTTCACTCCCTGGACCACTAGAACAGTTTATTGACTGGATTACCTAAGACTTCACTCTGCTCTTTAATTTGTGTCCAGAATGCTAATGTTTGTACTATTCTGAACCTTCCCTATTTTTCCCTTACCTCTTTTTAATACCACTTGTTACTTAATTGGAAGTTTGAGAACTCTAACATTTGAATTGAGGGGGTCAATGCATTGTGTCCTGCATATGGACCGAATCAATTATTTGGCTGCTGGTTCAGGTACCTGTGAGCTTGAACCAATAGTTATAACTTGGATCATTTGGTTCTACCGTGTACTAGAAGAGCCACATCATGTTTTTATCATCAGAGACCGTTTCTATAAATAGACATAATCCCACCAGGATTATGTTTGGGATTGAATCATTTTCAAAAGCACTAAAATGCTTCTTTTCCATAGGCCCTGTGAAAATCCCTTAAAATAAATATCTCATTTGGAATGTCTAGAGATTAATGTTGTTATTACCTGCAGTCAGAACAATGAACATGACTTACTTGGATTATTATCTATCATGGACTTTTTAATTTGTTTCTTAAATTATAACTCAGTGGAATATATTATTGAATTAATTGGCTTTTATCTCTGTACTGAGTGAAATTGTAAGTGCATAATAATTAAAACAACTATGAACATTGTTTAATAAATACTGCTAGGTACAGACTGTGCGTAAACAAACATTAGTCAAACTGAAAGTATCTATTGTATGTCTCATATTTTTCAAAATGGGTTGCTAACTCTGTTCTATGTATCTCCCCATTATCTTTGAGGACTCTCATTTAAATAGGGATCAGACTGGAAAAGTAAGGCACCTGTGAACCACGCTGGCATAAACCAATTCAATATAACCTAGACCTCCTTGCAGCAGATCCCACTGTTAATCCACTGAATCACACTTCTGAGCAATCATGTCAATAATAAATACTAATGTAATCCAAGACAAGCTTAAAATTCATTTCTGTAGGTTTAGCCATAACACTCTAGCTTACCAAGACATGATGGTAGTTCCCATTGTCCATGAAGACACTTCGCTGGGTTGGTCCCAATACTGACAGATCGTTGTTGGCATTGGTATGCCACGGTTTCACCATGCCTGTATATGGATGACTTAGCCTCAGCAGGAATTCCCTTTGTAATTTTTTGAGGTGGTCCACAAGTTTTTACTTCCTCTGTTGAAAAGCAGCAGGAAAAGATGTTATTACATAAAGGTATTAATTATTTAGCTCTTCCAACAATTTGCCCCTCTGTTTCATGTACCTATTGTAACTCTGTTATCAAAAACAAACAAACAAACAAATAAATAAAAAAATAAAAAAATAGAACATTAAGGATAGTTTTTATTTTTTCATTTTTGTTAGAGGCCTTTAATATTTTTGACAGAAAGTACTCATCAAATGAAGAAGGCAAATATATGTGGACTCTCAATTTGTACTATATTACCATGACTTACATATTTATATTAAATAGCCAATTATTTGAATCATTTGCTGCAATTTTTTGTCAAGTTATTATTTAATTTGCAACATTGAAGTCTCCAAAACTGTGATGGTATTTTTAATATGAATTGATAAACCAGCTAGCTATATTAAGCCCACATTCATTTTACTTCCAGTACTTTTTCCCAAATTTTCCGGATATCATGCTGTCTCTAGCAATGTCTTATTCTACCATTTGTACTAACAGAGCCATGGAAATGCTACAAAGAGAAGGACAGCTCTCAATTTCTACTTCCTATTGCAAGTAACAAGGACCCAAGTACTAGAAGTAAGCACAGGAATACATTCATGATTCATGAGATTATTAGGATAAATCAGAATACTTTAATTCCTCTATAATTTTGTTAGTTAAGCACTGGGAAGTAATCTTACCCTTCCATTCTCTACTAATAATGCACTGGAATCTGTTATGAAGAAAGATTCCAGTTTGCACACTATGGACCCTCCTC